ATCTTCAAGCAAACGTTCAGTCGGCACGGTACATCCTCAGCATATTCTCATCAGAGATCGACTCATTACGAAAACCAAGTCAACTAAAGGTACTCTCATCACAGCCAAATACCAACGTAAGAATTTGCTTTTGTCACAGTGCTTCCATTTTATTGAATTTTAAAAGCTCGGTAGCTGGTAATAAATTGAAGTAGGTCACTATTAGAGATAAATTTTGCTTTACAGCAATTTTCAACCTGTCTAACCACGATTTATTTCTCAAAGAATCATTACAATCTACTGTTGCAAAAACCACCCACGACTTGGTAAAAAAAATTTATTGAATCGAATCAGCTCGTCACAATCGTTGATCTCGCGGGGTGATATATACTATTTCAAGTTAATTCATATGTAGTGTCCTCTCATTCCGTTAAGTGTCTAACTTTAACTCGGGAAGTTTTTAAAAAGTCATCATTTATAGATCGATCCAGACAAAGTCAAAGCTATCCGGCGAAAGCAAATGAAACGAGGAAATGGGCAAATATTTTGCCGATGCCTTTAAAGGCAGGAGAAAAATTAGTATGAAAACATTTTGCTTGTAGCTGTCTTGCCAGATATGAGCTTAAAAAGTGAAATTCATGAAAGAAAGAGTTTTCAAGCGCAAAATAACCCATCATTTCCTCATGCTCGGACACACCGGTGCTGAGACATTAAGGGGTGTTCCCTTTCAGCAAAGCTTCATGACCCGGAAATCAGTTGACCATTCAATGTTGATTCTGGAATATATTAAGTAAATGAACTCATCTATGTTTTATTTCTCATGGAAATTTGAACGGGGACTTCGTTCACCTTTGAAAACCATCGCATACCAATACACCAACTATACATACGACCCAAAGCAAGTTGGGAGCTTATCGAGCTGGTCTTGATCATGCAAAAGATCTCGAGAGGAGGAAAGAAAGGGGAAAAAGGTCTTTCCCAGACAACCATTCATATCGAACTCAGTGTTGATAAAAGGCTCTTTCAAGTTCCGGTGACAACGCTCCTCACAAATGTCAAGAAGTGAGCCTCGTGCTTCGCTTTGTCAACCTTTTTTTCAATTATCTCTCGATTCGTTTCAAACATTCAAGGTGAATCGAAGTAAATGTGAGAAATTATAAGGAGCCGCAATCAATCTGGGGATAGCCGAGAGAGAAGATGCTGTTTATCTCTTTTTGCTTCAGTATCATTAAAAGCCGTGACCCTAAAATTAAGAGATTACAGAGAAGGCTGAGAAAATATTTTGGGTAAACACTAAAATTGGATAAATTGGTATTTAATTTTCTTTTCTTTGTTTCCTTTGTGGCTGAAAACAGATAACTTAGTAATCAACTCACTTTATTTCCGCCTAGCACAAGGAATTATACAACACAATAATTAATACAAGGAATTACTCAACCCACCAGGTAACTGGCAACTTTTTTACGAAAGCTAAAATTGTTTTTAAACTCATTTTCATCTTTCAGAAATTTGTATTTGACATTTTACGTATTCTTTTGCACCAAATTTTGTGACTTGGATTAAACTTAAGGGATTTGAAAGAAAAAATTTAATTAGGGCCTAAGATATTGTAAATCTGAACTATCAAGACTTATTATCCAATTGCACTCCGTACTGTACAAATAACGCCGTAGACGAGTACAATTATCACGCGGTATTTGTGGAGTGATGGAAAACGAAGATTACTTATGCATTTGGATGATTAACTTTTAAAGAAAATATCGCTTTCTTGGATGGTTTTTTTTTTTTTTTTTTCATCAATTAATAGCCCCAACTTTGTTTCCTCTGATTCTTTTCAAGTGATTAAAGTGTTTCCATTCAACTGCAGCTGGTAATCTGTCATCAGTATTAGTCTGCATTTTTGTAAACTCATTGTAATTATGCAGTATTCCGGAGATGCATGCCCCTACACGCATATTTTTTCTGCCAGATTAACCTTAGGGTATGTGAATTTAATAGACGAAGAATTGATCTGCCAAAAAATTTTAAACCTGACATCCGTAATACCAAAAGTAATTCACGCTATTTCTTTAGTAATTGTGTGTATCTTTCTGTTTTGATTCAGTGATTCACCAATGGTATCTCCACTGGTTCTTCTCCTAAGCTTGTGCTTAGTATGTTGCAAGTCAGCTGCAGAAGCTGATCTCATGTCGGAGTTCGACCATAATGCCGTCCTAGATACCCATGAGAAGATGAAACTGTATTGGAGTACTGATTTGGACGCAAAAATGATTTATTTCGCCATGGAAGCGGTGAGCACTGGATGGGTAGGACTTGGGTTTTCAGAAAATGGAGCCATGATCGGTAGTGATGTTGTGATAGGCTGGGTCAAAGACGGTAAAGGAAATTTAAAGGTATTACATGGAGATTATGATAATACATAAGATATTACTTGGCCACGCATGGATACGAATTTTATCTTCGAATGTTGATAATGCTGTTAGCGAGTGTGAGCGTATCAACACTAGGGGATGAATACATCTTCGCAAGTGCGCATATGATTTTTTGTTTATCATATAGATATTGCTTACCTATTGCTTAAATTCAAAGCAATTTTTCAACACACATGCACAGAACTTTAAAGATCGTAAACTCGTAAACTTATAAAGACTCGAAAGGGAGAGAAAAGAGCTCGTAAACTCAGCTTCTCCACCTTCCGGCATAACATAAAGCAAAGTTTTCCTTTGCCTGCAATTTTTTGCTAAGTTAAAAACAAGCGAACAAGAAAAACAATACAAAAAGAGATTAGAATTCAAAGTTAGTAATGTTTGTAAAATTAAAAAAAAAGAACCTTCACGAAAAGTGAAAGCGTCCTGTGGATAACTGCCCCAACATCGATACCTTCATATGAATAGTCAACAGAGGCATGTTACCAACGCGCGTTGAAGATATTATGATCATGCTTTTCGACGCGAACAGAAGAAATTCAGTAATTTGATCAGTAACTATAAAATGAATGCATAATATGAAATATTTTGACGAATGATCATCTACAGAATAAGGTGAAAAGAGGAGCATATAGACCGACGTGACCAAGGTGTCGAGCAAATTTCACCCTATCTATCGCACTTGGTATCAAATACCGCCAGATCAGACTTTGCAGTCATCAGTTCGTATCATTCGGAGCGATCGCCTCGTTTATGGAAATAAATTTCTTCTCTGTGATTGATTTTGTTGCACTTAAGCTGTCCAGGAGCCAGTAATAATTAGCCGATCACCTCAGAGCTACCCAAGAAGCGCGTGCGAAAAGCATTTTCAGTGCAAAGCAGGGGCGGATCCAGAAAATTCAGAAAGAGGGGGCCGAGTCCCCCACCCTCCCCCGAATGAAAACTTCACTTTTCAGGAGATGCAGCATACAGCATTGTGGGCGTCTTCGTGATGTAAAGTAAAGTAACGTTAACGTTTCGGAAGATCGAATTAAAGATCATTTTATAAACAACACTCAAAGGACGATTAGAAGGGTTGGGGTCGTACAAAAATGTTTTGAAAATACAAGAAAAAAAAGGCAGGCCGCGGCCTCTCGGCTCCTCTCCTAAATCGGCTTGCGCAAAGGGAAAATTTAAGTAGAACATTTTTCTTCCTCCAGGATCATTTTGCAACATCCAGTTCAAGTCTGGTTGTCGACCATCAACAAGACTATGAACTCACTGGGTACAAAGAAAGTGGTGGGAAAGCGGTGTTAAGATTTCAAAGAAAATTTGACACGCACGATCCTTGGGACAGGAAATTTGAGGTAAGCAAACCATCCTGTGGGGGAGAGGGTGAACAAGCTCACACGTGTCTCTTGTGGGTGATTCCTATCATTATTACCTGAAAAAGGAATCGATTAAAAAACTGACTTTTAATAATGTTGAGGTATGAAAGAGGATAAACAACATTGACACGTGGCGTTTCAAAAGATCTTACAGTCCATGAAGATTTTTTTTTTATTTCGAGAGTAATAAAGGAAAACTAATTTTTGTCTCACAGTTATTGACCAAAATACTCGGTCTTCGTGTCAATCAAAAAGTTTTTTCAGTACAACATTTCTCTGGACTGAAAGGAGGGTGCAGTCAATCTATTCCAGATCTTACACAAGGGTCCGTTTGGGTGAAAGTGCTACAGGTGAAAAAATAAAATTTGAACCTCGGAGCGTACTTCGAAAACAAAGCCATCATAGAACATTATTGGGCAACCACTCCTCTTCCTCTCACTCCAGCTGTAGCTAGTTGTTACCAAGCCTAGAGCTAAACATTATTGAACTACCTCGTACGATCTTCCCATGGATGGAAAGTAAACTTGCGGGCAGAATTGTAATGTTGGACTTCTCGTTATCATGTAACATGGTTGGATGTTCTAATGCCTTTGCAAGGTGAATAAACTAGAGCAGGCCAAATTTTCTCAGTTTTAATGTGACATGATACAAAATGGTGAAGAAAACAATTCTCAAAGTTAATTTTGTTACTGAATTTCCTCACTAATACAGAAAGGAGACACAAATGTCATATTTGCGTTTCACTCAGAGAACCCAGACTCGCCGATGGAAATTCCAAAACAAGTTTTCAGAGTGTCAAGGAGAATGATATCGTTTGTCAAAAGGAACAAGAGAGCCGCTGACAACGGCGAAAGCGGAGAGAAGAGATTCAGGTTCACTGCAAGGAACGTAAGAATGCGAACAGTTTCGTAATAAGAAGATTGGAGAGTGATGTGCATTTAAACGAAGATAGATCAAAGATGGATAAAATAGAATCAGTTAAGAATAAACACAAGTAAAGTAAAACTATTGGTTTCAAAAGAAATTCCTTTAGTCTTTTCCTGAAGAAGGAAAAACATTTAATCAAGTATTACTCCATCAAGATAACTACACTAAAGTACCCATAAAAATACTATCCCTCCAACTTGTTAAAAGGAGTAATGAGGGCTGTATGTGAAACGCAAATAGTTTTAAAAAAACATTCCGTTTTCTTTTACATTTAAAACGAATAGTTCAACTCAGGATCAATGAAATGCCGGTGTCATGGTGTTCTGATCGTTGATCAACAACTCTTCAATTAAATTCTGGGCATCATCATGAAATATCTTTCTTTGAGACGTATAGTTTACGCAGACATGATCTTGGTCACGTTGTTCTTTTTACCGCGTACAACATCCCTAAGTCGTATGTGCTTGTAAGCTTTCGTCATTTATCAATGCATGTAGACTGTTGAATTTTTTACCTGCTTTGTCTCTCTGTACAGGTAACCATTCCTTCAAGAAAATCAACCTACTGGTGTACAGTCTCACGAGGTCCCAACTTGAAATCCAAGCACCACATCACTAGGGTAATATTTCTAGTAGCACTGTACGTAACTAGTTGTTTAGAAGTTAGATTGTTTCAAACGATCTTGATGTCAGCAGGCAAGTCAGAAATTTAAAGAAAACGACAAAACTTTTGAGTTTAAAAGACATGTTTCSACAGAAACCTCTGTCATCTTCAGTTGATTAACAAAGCGTTACAAGTTGAATTTATAAGTACATGCTAATTAAGCTAGTAACAACAGAAAACGTGACAATGTGAAAATTATAAGGATAGCTTTAGATTTACATGATGTAATTGTTGATTCAAAGAAGGTTGTTCTCTTTGAATGTGAATAGCTTCTTTTATCTTGAGTTGGAAACTCGTAGAGGCGTTATCTAAGATATGGAAACAATCTACTGAACACAAAGCGCGATCTACTGAACACAAGGCGCGCCTTGTGTTCAGTAGATTGTTTCCATATCTTAGCTCACGCCTCTACGAGTTTCCAACTCAAGACAAAAGAAGCTATTCACATTCAAAGAGAACAACCTTCTTTGAATCAACAATTACATCATGTAAATCTAAAGCTATCCTTATAATTTTCACATTGTCACGTTTTCTGTTGTTAGTAGCTTAATTAGCATGTACTTATAAATTGAACTTGTAACGCTTTGTTAATCAACTGAAGATGACAGAGGTTTCTGTGGAAACATGTCTTTTAAACTCAAAAGTTTTGTCGTTTTCTTTAAATTTCTTCTTCTTTCTCGTAATTATCCATGATGGTCGCAGGAATGGCGTCCGTAAGTTTCGTTTTGAAATTCATCATTGACTGAAAACATTGTTGGTATTAGCAAAGGTATTATAATGGCTTGAATCGTCAGATCTCGGTAGAGTGTCGACACGAACTCGTTCAAAAAAGCCGACCGATGTGACTGTTGAAGACTCTGAGGTAAAAACGAAAACTGGCAACGAGGTGCAGCCAAGTGTGTCACTGATGTGCTTAGCAGATGTCATCTCGAAAAGACACGCGGAAACGTGGAATCTATTCGTTAATTATATCATGAAAATGCTAAAGTCGTTCGGTTAACGTTATCTACGTGTCTGCCCTGATCACAAGCAACAATCAATCAAATTTGTGTACAATTCAATTTACATTAGAAATATACATATGCATACATGGATTTCCAGGTAGCTTGTAAGAAAGCTGTCATTCTTACAAGCGTTTCTTGGCTCGCGAGAAAGTCTAAGTCTTAAAGTAAAGTGCAGCAGTGAGTGGTCTACTGAGTGTCAAGCACTAAAAATGAGAGGCCCTCAATATTAGTGCCATGCCCCCGGCAGACCTATTCCCGACTCATTTTAAATTTTCACGCGGGCTGAGAAATGCTTGTCCAGAGGCACCATAATGAGGGGCTGCTAGCAGGCCAACTTCCGCACAACCGTATGTGCGTACGTTCCTTGATATACGTAAGTTGCGCCGCTCTTGTCTTTTTTGCTCCGATTCTTGAGAGCTCTCTATATTTTTTGGGCAGGTTACGAAGATTATAACTAATCAGGGCTATGACTGCCCAGGTAGGGTGAAGCATGCTCGCATTTCGGCTGAGTGCATGGCTTCGTACCAACTGGGAGCCAAAGCTTAAGTCAGCATGTGAGGCAAGAAGTGACTTGAGATGTTAGCTATCCTTCTATATTCAATTAAGATTAGTGATCACGAATTGAAATCGATGCGTTTAAGTAAAAGTACATTTAACCTCAGATTTTCCTTCCCTTCCGCCATTTAGTTCGAAGCTAAGATCCAAGCAGAAAACAAAGACTTGGTTCATCATATGGCGCTGTTCCAGTGTTACACTGATTACAACTTCGCCAGCGAATTCTTCCTTCAAGGGGGTGATTGCTTTGCCAATAATATGTTTGCAAAGTGTAAAGGATTCAATTCAATTGCTGTCGCTGGTGCAGGGATAGAGGTCAGTGCATATGTATTTTTCTAATTGACAACAACCGAAATTGAAAGACTGAAAAGCTTTTGTGAAGTAGGCATTGAAAATAAGGATTTTTTTACCTCCTTTTGTTTGCTAATTTTGGTTTTTTTTTTAGCAAGTCTGCAACCCAAAGAAACATGGCCGCATGATATTTCTGAGAATTCTTTTCAAGATTGATTAGTTTCGTTTTTTCACCTTTCTTCCGATAACAGACCCACATCAACTTACCAGACCATGTTGGTTTCCCAATCGGTGGCGAAGATCTGCCCAAAATCTATTTGCTAGAAATCTTTTACAGTAATCCGGGAAAAAAGGAAGGTAAGAAGCAAAAACATTCAGTTTATAAGGACGGGACTGCAGCCTGGGAAATACCATACCATGGCTGAATGCCAAAAGAGTCAGTTAAAGATTCAATTCTCTATCAGTGTAGTATACGTGCTGGAAATAACTCTTTTCCTGACCAGTCTTGAAAATTATATTTGTCCTTAAACTGCGCTTTAACCCATTCAGGAGCCTATTGCCTGATCCAGTAAAATGGTCACATTATTTAAAACTTTTTTTTTCACGCCGTAAACGCAATCAAGAAAAAACTTGATTGAAAAACTCCGCAATCCAGTAAACTTACAAGTTTTAATTTTATTTGTCAGTTATAAATGTGGTTAAACACCATAAGTTTACACTTGACGCAAAATCGAGGAAAATAAAATAGTTTCTTTATCTCGCTGGTCAGTCACATCCTCAGTCAAAAAATCAGTTCTGGATTACGTACTACGTGGGTTACTGACTAATTCGTATACTAACAATATGGCTTACTTTATTCTGCTCAGGAAAAATAGACAGCTCAGGATTTGATCTGTATTACACTCAGAATGTTCGGACTTATGACGCTGGAATGGTGTATCTGGGAACCAAACTGGATGATTGGCAAATTATTCCTCCTAAACAGAAAGATTGGGTTTTGGTTGGCTACTGCATGCATCAATGCACCGAGGTTAGAAATTACCGTACAAATGAAAAATTGAGATGCGAACGCCAAAAGATCAGAAAGTTTGGGTGTTGGTTGGCTACTGCATGCATCAATGCACCGAGGTTAGAAATTACCGTACAAATGAAAAATTGAGATGCGAACGCCAAAAGATCAGCCGTTACTGTGAGGTTTATCAGTTTTTGCCAAGTGAAGTTTTTTCCACAGTCTTTTGAAAAAAAGAACTGGCTAAAGATGTGCTTTTTACTAATGGAAAAAGTTTTCCTATCTACTTCGAAAGTTTTAGCTTGGATTAATCAGTCCATGATGTTTTTACTATCTTTTTTTGCTTTTTCTCAGGATAAGTTCAATTCTACGTCTTTGCCAGGAAAAGGAATCAAAATATTTGCAGCTAATACCCACATGCACTCAGCAGGTAAGTTATGAACATTGTTTATTTCACTTTGTCTTTAATTTTTCCCCTTGCTTTCTTGTATTTGTTCCTTCCTTCTTTCTTTTTTCCTTTCTCTCTTCTATCTTTCATTTATGTCAGCTCTCGCAATCGCCTTCTTACTTACTTACTCACTCACTCGCTCCTTTACTCACCCGCAAAATCTTGTGACTGAGTCGCCTTCTGAGTAAAGACATGAATAATCAAATCAAAGTCAAAAGATGCGGTTATTCTTCATGACCCTAGCAACAACTTAATCTTCTCAAAACACCTTGATTTCAGACAAAATTTTCAAAATTGAAAATGCGTATAATTTTTCCTCTCCGTTTAAGTAAGCTTTTACATAATTTTCTGATGACAACTTATTTTACCGGTAATTACCTAAAAATCCAGTCAGAAAGCTTTTATTTGCTCTAGGTCGCGCCGCCTGGATTAAACATATTCGTAATGGGAAGGAATTACCAGAAATTGATTGTACAGACAAGTTTGACTTTCCGAAGGAGCAGGTAAGTAGCGTGGCAAGGTCTGTGAGATCTTTGCTTCTGTAATTAATAAGAAACTAATGGTTGGGTCGAGGAACAATCAGTAGTTATGCGAAGGAAAAATCACATGAAAATGATCAGTAGAAACAGCATGGAAAAAACTTTTTGATTTTGAAACGAACTCTTTCGATTGCACATAGTAGGTAGCAGAAAGGCAAAATCACAGAATCTGAAATTGTGGCATTGTATACATAGACAATAGCCTCTATCTGGCGCCAAAATATGCACGGATATTTGTGCACGGACATTATCTGTTCCAGGATGCAACAGTTGCTCGAAAGCGAAGCGCGAGGAAAACTGTGAGCTTCATCCACCGACCTACTGCAACTACCGAAACAAACGACAACGCAACTCCTACGACTATAGCAACTATACTTTACATATAGGGCATGTCTGAGAACATCGCGCACATTCTGCAACCCTTCATGATCAAATTCATTATCCGTCTCGCCCACAAACCCATCATTACAATACGTCAGCTATGAACAAACGTCAGAGACAAGAACAAACAAGGAACAGACAGGGAGCGGTATCAAAGATGAACTGTTCCGACTGCCACGCCCCGTACATGAGAGAGACAGCACTTGCCGTGGACTTTAAACAACTGACTCTGGAAAGCTGGTTTACTAACTTCCAACAAACTCCCCTCGACAGGTGTCAACTGCTACCAGCGTCATACAAACTACTTATTCACGTGATTAATATTACAAACGAATCAAACAGAACGACCTGACTTTAGATCGAAATAAACTGATCACGACCAGCTTACGCCATTTGAGTCTTACAGCCAATGACATCATCGCTAAACCGATCAATCAGTTTATACGAACCGGACTTAGAACATTCGACAACACCAATAACTTTTTCACTTAATTCTGATGATGAAATCCGCTCAGGTTGTCGAAAAGTCAGTCACCACTACCGACAACAGTCCTTCTCAGGACTACACTCACCCAGACGATCAGACTACACTATCACACGTTACCTTGAGTTCAAACCATTTACAGTGGAAGTTGGGGAGTTTCACTTGGGTGATATCCTCGCACGCCCTTTCTTTCTCAGACTCCAAAGGGCAACAGAATTGTACTTTCACTCTCCCTTTTATTCCATTCTGATCCGACCGAATTTTTATTAGCTGAGCCTTCTTTTCAGAAACTGCGGCTCTTAAAAAAGGAAGCTCATATCAAACCGGTGAGTGACAGAAAATGAATTACGATCGACGCAAACCCCCTGAAAGCCAAACAGAGCAGACGCCCGCTTCTCGAAGGTCCCGATAACTTGTCGGGCCCGCAAAGCTGTTCTGTTGTCGTGCAAGACAAGGGTTTAAGAATTTTTGACAATTAGACAAAAGAAAACCTTTCTGCTAAAGAAACAAAATAGACTGGACAAAATGAGCCTGCTTCTTTATTCTTTAAATTTTGATTCTAAAACATAGCTTTGGGCCCGCCAATATACTGGGACTTTCGAGAGACGGGTGCGGGCCCCCGCAAGTACGAAGACCGTGTGGCTTGAAAAAGTTTAATTAACCCTCAAAACTGTGAAAACATGCATATTGGCTGAATGACTACATAAAAGGGGAAGAAAAAGGCAAAATATAGCAAAACTTACGCCTTTGAGGGCTGTAAAAATGTAACCGCGTGGTTTATGACAAACAAACTGGCGCGCACGTCTTAGAATGATGATGTAACGCAACATGACAAAAATTGTCGAAGGAAATTCTAAAGCATGTGCGCGCAGGTGCTGATTCAATCAATCTTCCCAAAGACAGAGAGAAGGAGAGAAGGTTAAATACGGCTTTTCTTAGGTAAAGAAACACATAATGGCTTACGTAACACCCACAGAGATCAATCAGAGTTCACATCTGTGCTGACTGCTTTCTGATCCCGTATAGACTGAGCTACTGTTTCGACTATTTAGTAACAAAAAAAGTCACACACACCACCCATTTTGTCAGAAGTAGCTTAAAAGTATTTGATCCATTACATTGTGAAAATCCCATGAAACTAGCTCCATATGATTTAATGACAATTTTTAAACATCGGAAAGAGTATTTCATATAGAGATGATCATGATCATTGGGAATGAAAATAGCTGTTGCATGAAAAATTTTTGTTTAAGCCAGATTTGTTATGTTATGAGAAAAGTGAAATATAACAAAATTAAAAAGTACTAGTCAGTGAAGGTACGTCACTTATCTCAACATGATATCGAATAGATTTTACACTCGTTGTTTTAGGGTGATGACCTCATCCAGTTTTGCAAGTATGATTCTTTGAATTCAAAGAAACTGATCAAGGTACGTACAATTAAACATTATCACCCGAACACTCTGAGCACCTACAGTAAATATGATCCAAATATTGTAGTTTAAATTTTATAATAAACCGGTCTGGGCCTTTTCCCATAGGGAGGTATCGATGGTGACGATGAAATGTGCTTTGGAATTGTGTTTTATTATCCGCGGATATCTGGCTTTTTAAGATGTCAGAGCGTCTCAATTGATCCATCCTTAAAGCTACTGAACAAATATTTGTAAGTATATACTTTATGTGAATTATCTACAACAAGTTCCTGAACTGTCCATAACAGACATACGTTGTAACACCGATTTCACAAGGCAAGATACACAGCCAAGGAATTATTTACAACTGTCATACTCGATTAATAAGTTATTTTAGACGCGCCAAAACCTCAAATTCAGGGTAACATGAGAGGGTATAATGACTTCAAGAAGGTCTTAGAATAAAAGTCTAACCGTTTTTTCTCGCCTAGTATGTCAAGTTAGCAAGGCTACAGATTTTCATTACTTTCAGCTCATAAATAGCAATTATACAGCAAAGATTTCTGATACAGTTATCACGTTGCCTTTGCCTGTTTTCGTCTTCATCGTCTTTGTTGTTGTTATAATTTCTACCTTCTTTTTCTCAAGTTGTTGTTGTTGTTGCGTTCAGCTTCCGAGAGTAATAATGGCTGACGACTAGATAATAATTTAAAAATACTCTTTGTTATAATATCACTTTGATATACATTTTGTTTCAAGTAACAAACCAAAGGTCACTTCACTGAATAGCAACCCACTTGTTCATCGTAACGCAACCTGGAGTGATGCGATGGTTGCTGACTTCAGGGAATACGAACGTAACAACGAAAAAGTCATTCCTGAATGTATTTACAAAGCCAATTTGACAACTAATGTGAGTATAGTTTGCAAATTTCGGTTGTAGCCGACAATGTTTGAGTTTCTCGTTAGCTGCAGTCCTCGTTAATTATAGCCCTCCTTCAACATTCCTGCTTCACTTCGTTAAATTAGTACCCCTTCTCACCTCTTTCGGATCAGCAAACGTCAGACATTTTTTTAGAAGATTGTTTAAAAGTGAAGGAAAAGAAGGTGTTATTTTTTTAATGCTGTGTTAGACTATTGAACACTGTCTTGACCGTTTTAGCTTTTTATTCGAGTGTAACAATGAATGAATGCCTTTTCGATGTTCTAACAGGATTTGAAAAACGTCACCATCAATGTGCCAATTCCGAAAATTTCCGAGGGCTTGCCTCCTGAGCAGCATACATGTCAGTCTCAAGTGATCTCCTCGGAATCTGTGAATCTGTCTCGTTCGGCTTGTACTTTTGTTTTCGGAACACTGTGTGCTTTGGTTGGTGCGTTAAAGTAACAGTGACGGTGCACTGCGAGATGCACAACTCGCGATACCTATTGATAGGAGGTTTTTAGACTCTGTAGTTGTAGTTGATATTATAAATTGACCGGTAGAATATGAATGATTCATTTCCGACTTTAGGTTAGAATAAACAGGTAGTTCTGAATAATTGAACCTTTTATTATCAGAGGCTCATTTTGTGGCGAAGGGTTAATTTTTTGTAGGGTAATGTAGGGAGAGGTAAAACAGCTTTTGTCCTTTTTGTTTTGATTCGGTGCTTTCCATATATTCGATGATCTCTTTTGATGAGTTTTTAATAAACCATGCAAATTAATCATTGAAGATCAGAACTTGAAGGTTTGCGTCGAGATGTTTTCGTTTTTCATAAATATAACAGGATAACGGGTCTAGGAGATTTCAGTAGCCGGCATCTTTTTCTTAAATAAATGTTTTTATTTAAATGCGTAGTTGTTGATACTTTTTAGTGCGTGTACGTCCAACGCAGGCTAGGGATGGTTTCCTTTGCTTCTCTACGTTCAAACAATAAGAAATAACTTAAGTCGCAGCACCTTTTACACTAAACTCGACTTGTTCTCAGTAGTCAAATGAATAAAGGGGGTAAGTTTCTGAAGAAACTGTGGTACTGCGTCGGTGGGGGTAACAAGGTAAGTTGGTAATATCAACTAAGTTGACATTGTAAACTGGCCACCGTAAAGAGTTAAAAAGCTGACATTTCAAGCGTTAGCCCATCGTCAGAGCGATAAATGAAGGGCTCTGATGAAAGGCTAACGCTCGAAACGTCAGCTTTTTAACACTTTACGTTGCCAATTTACAATTTCAACTTAGTTGATATTACCAAATTACATTGTTCTTAGTAGTGTTTGAAGCCGATATGAGTTTACATGAATTCTCACTGGCCTCTCGACCCAGTCTCTTTGTATTTATCGGCCATTTGGATTTCTTTATTTAGTTTCGAGACTCTCCACTGAAATGTACTCTTTGTCTTCCAAATGGATGATTCATAAGTATCACCACTTCGAATATTGTTGATGTGCGTATGAGGAGTGGTGTTCCTACCTTGTGTCCCTCTACCCACCCCACCCCACCCAATATTGTGGCGGTAACCTTTCCTATGTAAAAAAGAGTAAATGGCCCAAATACCAGATACGTATACATGAATACGAGACCGGGAAACTGAGAGTGCAAAAGAATTAAAAGAAAAGGAAAGTTTGTATAATCTGCGCCTTTCTGAATGGCTCCCCTTTTTGCCACTTTAAATTTCAGTTGTCGCGCGATTTTACAAGAAAACGCTGTATAAATTATCGGATCGCTTGTGATCATTCCTCGCTTCAAGGCAAGTAGTTGGGGGGGGGAAGGTGATCAGATCTTGACACTATGTGTTGGCAGGACACGTGACTAATGTGAACCCTTTCTTACGCGGCAGCCCCGCACATTAGATAGGTAAAATGCACGTTTCATTCATGAAAGGACTTTTAAACAAAAATCTAGCGGCCCAACATAAGGAGAGCAGTTTACTTTTGATAAACTTGTAAAGTCTAGAAGTGATTAATGAGGCCGGGAAAGATGAAGTTAGTAATTCGAGTGTGTTGCTGCACTTTTACTCCAACTTTTCTTAGCTAAGTATAACGCCCGCTTTAATCCATGTTTTGAATGGAATTCCAAGTCAGATTCTAGGAGATAGAATAACAAAAAAAAAACAAACAAAAAAAAAAAAAAGAAAGAAGAAGAAATAAACACATGATAATCGAAAGTTGCATAATATTTACTTGCTTTCACGTCAGTCATGATTAAACAAGGTGACAAAAAAAATCCAAACGAAAAAAGGAACAAAAAGTAATGACACGGCAAATCTCTTCGGGGCGATCACTCAGTGGTTTAAAATACAAAGGACAGCACACAGTATCCCAAGGTACCCGGCGTAAACCCCTGGTGACGTGCGCAGGCTTGCAGCAAATGGGATAGGTGTACAGTCAGACTCCTCGGATGGAAGAGGCTCAGTAACTTTTGGTATCGGCACTGTATAGTTAGGATTGATTGTGTCCTGAGGAAAACAGATACAGCACGAGTCAATTCTAAAGAAACTACACAACTCGTGATCGGCACCGAAATTATCTCTAGCATATTTTCTGTTTTACATTTTGTTTTTGTTGTTGTTGTTTTTTTTTTTTTTCGCATCTACACTCAAAAGATTTCCCCGGCTAAGTGACCTTGTCAAGAAATGAGGCACTTACGTTAGAATATCTCGTCATAACCAAGCCTGCCTCACTCGTTAACTTACATGTATGGTTTGGACAACGAGATAAGTTAAAGGAAACTGGTTAAACACTTTCTTCTAAACTTCCTTGAAAAACTCGGCAAGTGATTGCTTATTTTAAGATCGGATGCTGAAGAAATGTTAGTACTTACAGCAACGGAGGAATATCTGCGAATACCACAACGGGGAAATACTCTCTGGACGTCTTCATTGTACTCTTTGAAGTCCGCCACCATTTCATCCGTCCAGTCGAATGACATTTTGGTCATGGGATTACGGCGTGGGGAGGTTAAGCTCACATCTTTTCTGGAGTCAAAGCCAAATCAAACAAGCAAACACATAAACAAGCACATCCCCATGCTCGTGAAAGTCGTGACGGTTGTTTCAATGACATATTTCTTTGCACGACTAAAAAATTTTCACAGAGGATACTTCTAACAACATGCATTGGGCGCGTGAGCCCGTAGTTGAAGCCTACGGGTTCAATTTTGATTGAATGTTCTATGGGCCAGTAGGCAATGAATCTGCGCTTGTGAATAGTGTTTTCAAACAGCTGCAGCTAAATATTTATAAAATACGAAAACCTCAAGCACTTAATTTACTTAAGTTATGCAACAGTACACAACACGAATCAACTACTGGACTTGAAATGGGAAAAACTCGATTGGACATCAGTGCAAAAGTTGTCGACTTTTCAAAAAGTTAATTGAACAGGTCTGCGGGTTGCTCTACTAGGAATCAGGCGAAATGACCCATTTCAAAAACATACATCGCACATTGTTTTATTTATTGGAATGTGCCATAATTCTACCTCATCTTGAAAGAATGCAAAGACACAATATTGCAACAATCTTGAAATGTCAATTATGAATTTAAACGAGACTCACAAGTATTTTTTGATGAACTTGTATGGAGGACCATAAGCAGTACTCTCACACGATCTGGCATTGGGTATACGTGGATAGTAGAACAAGAAGTCCAAGCACATTTCCTCTCTCGAAGCAAGGCCTCCCTAAATGTCAAGAGGTGTAGGGAAAGAAAAAATACAATCAGTGAAAAAATAAATACAAATACAATCAGTGAAAAAATACAATCATCAAGTCTGCGGTCATTGCGGACAGGTGGAAGGGTGGGTGAGTGAAATTAAATCAGCGGTCGTCAGGGAAACTTACCAGCCACCACTGAACGTT